CTCAAGAAAGGGTTTTCAACAACTGGGTCAATCAACATAGCTCAACAACATGTTTTAAGCATTCACAACAAAACTATTCTCGGTACAACTCATCATACAACTCCAATCTCAATCAACTTATAGTTTTCTAAAAATTTAAATATCCACATACATCATCCTAGACCAATGTATAAAAAACTAGAATCATACAATAACTTAAATCATGTAAGCAATCCAATTTACTAACATATGTTCAACACTTAGTTAACAAAACAACAAGTTTTCATTTAGAAACTCATGTTTGATGTCATTCTCCCTATGTTCGACATCACTGAGGTAGAGAGCCTGTGACTCACCCAAGCTGGGCGCCAAACTATCCACGCCTGGCATTGCTAAACCCACTCCCAATCTCATTTAGGTAGAGAGTCTCTGCCTAACTTACGCCAAACATCATAACACTAGTGTCCGACGTTGTTTAAGGTTTAGGGTTTAGGTAGAGAGAGCTTCTATCTTGATCACCCCATCACCACTTAATTGGGACTTGATGTCATTAAGTGAGAGAACTCTCCTCTAACTCTCGCCTGACACTACCAATCTCGGCCTCTAACTTGCATCACTCTCAACTCCATGAAGTTGCGATGATGAATTTTTCACTTGACAAAATTGTATTTTTTTTCCCAATCTACTTAATAACACATACATATACACTTCAAAAAAAACTCAAATTCAACATTAAAATCAACATGCAATTTATCTAAGCCAAGATTCACCAAATTCCCTTCAACATGTTCAAGAACAACTACAACCCAACATAAGATTTCCACTTTATAATCATCATCACAACCACTATTTCAATGAAAATCAAGTATATGCAACTCAACAATTCACCAAAATCAAGTTATAACTTCCCTTACCTCCGAATCAACTAGAAATACAAGGGAGGAAGAAGGAAAAACTATCCAAGAAAATATCGCATGCAACCACCTCCACCACATCTCAAATTCTCAACCTTCAAAACCTTGAGTCTCAACTGCAAAGAAGGAAAAACTATCCAAGAAAACATCGCATGAAATCACCTCCACCACATCTCAAATTCTCAACCTTCAAAAACCTTGAATATCAAATTCTCTATCCTCTGCTAAAAATAATTCCAAAACAACTAAAATTCATAAAAATTCCTTAATTCTTAGAGTCTTACCACTATTAAACAATTAATCACAATATTATATTAATAAAAATCAACAATTAATAACAATTCACAAAAAAATTATAGTCTTACACAAATCAACTTATATAAATAAATGAAAAAAAAATGAATGAATTAAAAAATATAAAATTAAAAGATAAATCGCTAAAAAAAGATAAATTAATTAATTGATTGATAAGACACTTATATTAGATTGTGTTTGAAAATAGAATGTATAGAAATAATTAATAATAGAATAAAAAAATTAATTTATTTAATTTTATCCAATAAACAATCTTATATTATTATTATTATTTTTTCAAAACAATACTTTTATTATTTCAAATGATTCTATTTTATTTCAAAAACACAAATTTAAAACATTATATGTATCTTCTGATTATTTATTGATTAATTTTAATCATCCAATAAATGTTCAGCAACAAAATTATCAAAGTCTTTTTTTTTTTTTTGAAAAAACATAATATCAGATTTTTAATCGGTAATAAGGGATAAAAAGAAGGCTTTGAAAGTAGTTGCAATCACCTTAAGAAACCAAAGGTTTTTTTTATCACTTTTCTCACATTTTATTTTAACCTAAAATGTATTTTCTTAAATGCTTCCCCTCCTACTTATAATACCGCACATTAGTTAGGTTATTACTTTTGCTTATCTATTGCATTATAAATATCACGTTACTTATGCATTATAATATTTGGTCATATCAAACTACATTCAAAAGTGCACCATTTTATCAATAAAATATTTGTAACAATTAATATTTATTTTTAAGTTAAAATAATCATTATAGTAAATAGTTATTATAAATAATTATTATAAGGTTAAAATAATAATAAATATCATTGTTATAAAAATTAATAATTTAACTATACTATTTATTTTCGATATTAACATAAAAATAAGTTATATGGATAATAAAATTTGTGCAAATATTTTTCATAAATTTAAAATAACATATACTTTACATATTCTTATACAAGTCTATTGCATTATTTTTCACATTTATAATTGTTAAAAATACATGGGTGTTAAAAGAAAATTCTTACTTCAATACTAATACTGACCATATTTTAACAAATTAATCTTTTTACAATACTCTAAAAATAAAAATTATAAAAATTTACATCTAGACTTTACAGAATAATTAAAAAAAAACAAAAAATTCATTGTTGTCAAATAATTAATTTAAAAAAAATATATTTAAGTAAAAAAAAAATATATTTTTTTTAAAAAATTCAAAACAACTAAATAAATCCAATTAAACATACATTCGCAATTCGTAAATAACACATGTCACTACAACATTTACTAATAAAATATCTTCATTTAACACAAAATCTTTGTTGAACAATAAAATAATTATTATAATTTTAAAATATTGATAAAAATAATTATCATAAAAACTAATAATTATTATCGATATTATACTATAGATTATTAATATTAACATGAATGACTTGTAAAGACAACTAAAAGTTATGAATATATTTTTTCATAAATTTACATTAATATGTAAATTATAAAAATTTTAAAAGTATTACAAAAATAAAATATTTTTACCCGTACACCGCATGCACATGGAGTCCAGTTTAAGGGAAATTTTTTGGTTTAGTGTAAAAACAAACAAAAAGGATAGATAATTTTTCTTAAAAATTATATCACCAAACATAAATAACAAATAACGTCTGGATATTAAAAAAAAAAAATTGTAGGTACAAGTGAATTAAACTCAAATCTTTTAAATAATATTAGTCATGCACAAACATGTTTATTATATATAATATAATTAAAATTTATAAATATAAATTATATTTTAAATTTATGAAAAATAATTTGTATTGTAACAAAAAAAAATTACTTTTAAGATTACTGATAATTTATTTAAAAAATATTAATATTTAATTCATAAGTAATTATTAATTTATTTATAAATATACTAATAATATTATTGATACTAATTTATCAAAAATATTATAATACTAATATTATATATAAATTGTATTTATATAATAATAATAAATATAGATATGTTATCATTTAATACAAAAGTTAAAAATTATAATATATGTAATTTAAATAAATTAACAATTATGAAAGACACTAAAATCATACAATTGTTACCTGAAGGCTGAAGCAATTAAAATTGTTCGATTAAAAGTCAGAGAACTAAAATCATACATTACAATACTTGAAACTAAAATTACTCAATTAAAACTTGTAGAACAAAATCCCACAATTAAAATACTTGAAAAATCAAAAAACACATTTAAGAAAGAAAAAGAAAGAAAATATATATATATATATATATATAT